CCACAGCCTAGACGAAGATAATGCCTCGGGGGAGGCCGCTGGCCGAGTGTCAGGGCAGAGGTCCGTTCCAGAGAGGCCGATTCGTGTGAATGCTACCACTGTAAAATACCCTTACAGACCCACACACCATGACCCGGGATGGCTGAGGAAATGCACAGTGAAATGTCTGGAACTTGCCGGGGGAAAGGACGGGGTGGAGGGGGGATGAGCCATTATCTGCGCTCACTAGCTGGTTAGTAAAACACGCTGACAGATCTGGCAATGGCGAAGAGCCCCGGCCACCTGTGCCTTTAGTTTTCGTAAGTGAAGACCCAGAGAAATTCCACTGGTGGGAACTGCTCCCCTCCCCAAGCCTCAGCCCTGTCTGTTCATCAAAGTATCACAAACTTTTGGTTCCACCTTTAGCTTCAAAAACCAAAGACTCACACAATTGACATAGTACTTAGGATCCTGAAGATTTAGAGTTTCAGACTGAATTCCCTTTTAAAACTTCTAACTATTAAAAATGATAGCATTGTGCTTGCTTCGGCGGCACATACACTAAAATTGAAACGATGCAGAGAAGACTAGCATGGCCCTGCGCAAGGGCGACCTGCAAATTCGGGAAGCGTTCCATATTTTTATGACTGAAAGTGACTGACTAAAGGACGTACAAACACAGTAAATGGGTGTAAATACCAGATATAGTGTGTGTGGAAGAGGAGGGTCTGAGGAAGGACATTTAGAGGAAAAATACGGAGGCAAAGCATTCATGAGACAAAGAAATGTGGTATTATCTGTTGAAGATACTTTTATAGTTTTATCAACTGGACTAGGGAGAAATGTTCATATATTGAAACATTCCCTTTGTAAGCTAAATAATGTGATCCAATGTATAAAAGAAAATGAAATTTAAAAAACGATTAGCATTGACGGCACCAAGTCGCCACCTGCTGGCCATAGAGGAAAGTACAAGCATCCAGCAAACATCACACCGGTGCTTCCAAAGGGTCCAGACCAAAGGGAAAGAAAGATGCCAGACAACAGCCAAGAGAAGGAGGGGACAGGGCATTGGTAAGCAGGGGACACCGTGGCCCCTGAGTCTTTCCACGGCTAAGAGAAGTTTACAGAAAATCTACAGATAGGCGGCAATCTGCACCCCACGCTCCCAGTGCCTCATCTTCCCTAAAACCTCTACTTCAGCAAACATGGCTGGCATCTTGAATCCCTGTTTCATGCTGAAATTAACTGAGCCAAGCGGCAGCTCAGCAGAACGGGGAGGGCACTAGAATCAGCACCTACAGTTTTCATGGCTGTGTCTTTTACATCCAGGGGAGGTCATTTGACTGAGCTGAACCTTGGTTCTCATGATCAGAACAATGAAATGAATACCAGCATCCTCTATCTTCCAGAATGACTTGAGAGTCGAGCAAACTTTACACCTGGCTTCGTGCCTCCTGGCTGACTAGCATGGCCCTGCGCAAGGGCGACCTGCAAATTCGGGAAGCGTTCCATATTTTTATGACTGAAAGTGACTGACTAAAGGACGTACAAACACAGTAAATGGGTGTAAATACCAGATATAGTGTGTGTGGAAGAGGAGGGTCTGAGGAAGGACATTTAGAGGAAAAATACGGAGGCAAAGCATTCATGAGACAAAGAAATGTGGTATTATCTGTTGAAGATACTTTTATAGTTTTATCAACTGGACTAGGGAGAAATGTTCATATATTGAAACATTCCCTTTGTAAGCTAAATAATGTGATCCAATGTATAAAAGAAAATGAAATTTAAAAAACGATTAGCATTGACGGCACCAAGTCGCCACCTGCTGGCCATAGAGGAAAGTACAAGCATCCAGCAAACATCACACCGGTGCTTCCAAAGGGTCCAGACCAAAGGGAAAGAAAGATGCCAGACAACAGCCAAGAGAAGGAGGGGACAGGGCATTGGTAAGCAGGGGACACCGTGGCCCCTGAGTCTTTCCACGGCTAAGAGAAGTTTACAGAAAATCTACAGATAGGCGGCAATCTGCACCCCACGCTCCCAGTGCCTCATCTTCCCTAAAACCTCTACTTCAGCAAACATGGCTGGCATCTTGAATCCCTGTTTCATGCTGAAATTAACTGAGCCAAGCGGCAGCTCAGCAGAACGGGGAGGGCACTAGAATCAGCACCTACAGTTTTCATGGCTGTGTCTTTTACATCCAGGGGAGGTCATTTGACTGAGCTGAACCTTGGTTCTCATGATCAGAACAATGAAATGAATACCAGCATCCTCTATCTTCCAGAATGACTTGAGAGTCGAGCAAACTTTACACCTGGCTTCGTGCCTCCTGGCTGCAGAGCACACAGGTACCAGGGTGCTCCTGGGTACTCAGTTCCTTTCTAACTGCTCCCACTGAGGCCCGCGGGGCACAGATCAGTGTCCGTCTTAGTAAGAACCACTCAGGACACAGCACGGGTGGAACTCGCCTTTATTAAGATTGGAACAGGGAAGATAAGACACAAAACTGAGCAGCTCACCCAGGCCTCCCGCCAGCCTCTGCTGACCCACCCACACGGGTGGCGGCAGGAGCGGCTGGGCCCCAGAGCGCCACCCTGCTCACGGCGAGGCAGCTCTGCGGTGCCTAGGCCCGTGGCTCCCATACTCCAACTCTTCCCCTTCTTAGCTACTTCCCTTGAAATAGGACAAGCTGCCCAAGAGGAAATGAAACAGCTGTACTTACAAACCTAAAAATATCTGGGGACGAGATCAGTTGTTTCCCGTGACCTGGGAAACCTTAAGGTCCTTCAGGGCACGGGATTCCAGATGGCCCCCTGCCACGGTGAGTGTGTACACGGGCACAGCATCCCGGGAGGATTCTGGGCTGATGGCGTATAACACGTCTGTGCGCGGCACGGCCTATCCCGGAGGACAACACAAAGCAACGTGCTACTCTGCAGTGCAGGTAAGTCCTGGAACAGGAAGGTAGCCCTAGCAAGAAACGTGCATGAGTATTTGTTAGCAGGACTTGAGAGAAGAGATCCGAGGCTCAGAGGGGAGAAGCCTTCCGTGTCCTCTGTGTACGATGCAGGGCAGTTTGAGTCCTTAAGCTACCATAGTAACACCACCACCTTGTTTTCTACACAGAGAGCTAAATGGTAACAGACACATGGAACTAGAATACAAATGACCCACAGGGAGAGCCCAAGGAACTCCGCCGGTAGCCGTGTTTCTAAACTGGATGGTTCGCACGGGAGCAGCGTGGCCTGTCTCCCTGCAGCACTGACTTTATTCAAAGAGTGAGGGGGTCTTTTTCATCTTAAAACAGAACCGGACTGGGAGAAATCTGTTGTCCCTACTGAGTACGGAACACAGGCCGAAGAGACGGTGGTGCTGCCGAGTGGCTTCAAAGATGGCGCGCTCTTGTGGCAGGCCCAGGCGGCGCTTTTGTGCCAGCCACTCCGTCACTTAGGGCTGGAGGAGGTCCGGAGAGGAGGGCTTAGGGCCCCGTCCCAGTCCTGCCCTGACAGGCGAGCACAGGGTGACGAGCGTCAGCATGGGAGACCAGCTGGCCATCCCCTGCGTCCCACCACGGGCGAAGTCTGCCTGCACTGGGTGCTACGGAATCAGCTTTCCTGAGCCCCTCCTACTTTGCATGGAAAATCCTGCAGAAGGATCAGGCAACAGGGAAAAGGCTGGTGAGGGCAAGAGACATTGTAGGCGTCCAGGCCGGGAAGAAAGCAGGTCGCCTGTCACCGATGCGGACAGACCCAAGTGCTGATGGCAGGCCGTGGTAAGCATCGAAACTGGCCTGTGCTCACCACAGTCCTCAGGGAAAACGGTCCTTCGGGGACTTCCCACGTCAACCACGGGCTCGGATTTCAGAAGTCTCCGGTTCAATTCTGGCGGGATGAGTGTGTTTGTACGTGAGAGCAGAGGGCAGAAAGAAACCAGCTCACGCCTACTCTTTTCAGCCCTCCTTAACGTGCTCTGATGGCTTTTCTTGCCAACCTTCGCTTTAGAAAGCCTCACCACCCTTCCTTAATGCTATTCCTTTCTTCCGTCTCACAGAGCTTCATCTGGCCTTTCTTGGACTAACGTTCATTTTTCTTCCCACCTTTCTCTCATTCTAAGTTTTCTACCTTAGATAATTAAAGCCAAGCAAGCATCGAGGGCTGGTCTTCGCCAAGTAACCCCGTGAAAAGCGGTTTCACGTAGCAGGGTCCTCGCCCTCTGTCCACACCTCTCCTGGAGGGCCAGCTTGTGCAGACCCTGCTTCCATTCCAACCAGTTCTCCTCGGGGACCTTCTCCTCCCCTGCTTAGTTCCACAGCACTGAAGGCTAGGGACAAAAGGGCCCACGTGGGCCCAGGAGGGGACTGACCTAGGACACAGGTGGGGAGTTTTTACTTTTCGACAAGTAAGAAATGAAAAAGTGTACACGGCCGTTCCCTCTGCAAAACTCCCCCTTCAGGTTCGAACTTGGAACTTCCCGGCTTTGGTCATGTATTTAATCCCCTTGAAGGGCTTGTACTTTTCCCCATACATGTCCAGACGATTCACTTTGAGTCCTGGAAGGAAAGGAGGGGAGCGAGTAAGACAGGAGTCCCAGTCGAGGGAAGCAGGTAGTGCAATTGTTCACACCCGCTTCCGTTCAAAGAGGTGGTGGGAAAGAGACTACCAGGTCATCAGTCCAGGAAGCTGCCAGGCTGGCACTCTCGGTGCCCACACTGACAGTGAAAAACCGCTCCAAGTCCCAGTCAAGGGAAGCAGGTAGTACAATTGCAATTGTTCACACCCGCTTCCGTTCAAAGAGGTGGTGGGAAAGAGACTACCAGGTCATCAGTCCAGGAAGCTGCCAGGCTGGCACTCTCGGTGCCCACACTGACAGTGAAAAACCGCTCCAACGAAAAGCCGTCCCAGTAAGGAGACCCCTTCCAGAGGGAGAAAGGGCACAAACGGCACGCAGACTGAAATGAGTGTAAAGAAAAAAATGAGATCACTGAGTTTTAAGTTATTAAACTGGATAGATTAATAATAATAATAAATTAATAAAATAAATGATAACTATGAGTTCATGAAAAATAACGAAGGCTTCCTAAATATTTGCACTGTATTAAGCAAAAAATATTTTATAGTGCATAGCGCTTTAGTTTAATCGGTGTTTTAAGATGGAAGAACTAATTACTTAAATGAATTCTTTTTTTTTTTTTTTTTAAGAGAGATTTTTTGCTATAGGGCATGTGTGCTCACCAGAGAGACAAAGAGACAGGCAGCGAAAAAATCATTCCTGGGGGATGGCCACGCTGCAATCCCTTCTCTTCCATTCTACTCTTGGGATCTGGGGTATGCATGCACATGCACCCAGTGTGAGTTTTAAGCCCTGGGTCTGAGACTCAAACCGTGATCGACTATATGGGAGTCCAGCAATGTAACCATTACACCATCTGCTGGTGCTGAATGAATTTTCACCGCTTAAATTAGAAAAGATCTGTTGGTTAGTGAAGAAAATGAGGACTTCACATAAAGCTAAAGAAAATCTGTCTACCTCACAGGAGTGTTGTAAGCATTAAACGAGAAAATACATAAAGAGAGCTCGAAAGAGCGCAGGCACTTAGTAACTGCCCCCATGGGCTGCGTCCAAAGGGAGGTGCAGGCTGCAGGAGCCTGACCTGATGGCCCAGGAGTCGCAGGACGATGACACCAGCAAACATGAGAGTGTTGGACGCTGCAAGGAAGGAGCGGAAGTTACTCTTCTCACTTCCGGCTGAGACACAGACACAGTCTCAAACTGAAAACCCCCAGGAACTTCAAGTCATGCCCAGGATGACCCACGGCAGCCTGTGAACGCTTCCGCCTACCGCTGTGTCTTCGATACTGCTATTCAGGCCATGGAAGGCCATCTTCAGAGGAAACATGGCCAGCTTTACCAGAAACATGCTGGGGAGGATTTCCCTAAACGTCCTACATCAGGAGGTACGGCCGAGCCCTGCACCCCGGGAGCCACAGCAAGGCGCTCCATGGCTGTGCCTGCAGGGAGAAAGCCACTTCTGGGACCTTCCGGGCCCCGGCACCGGGCCACTCACCGGAAATGGCCAGCTGCTGGATCTTGAACTGCAGGTTAATGGTGGGATTTTCATCTGGTTTGGAAGCTCCGGCCTGAAGACTCATGGTCCCCTTCAAACTTGGCAGCTTCTGGGGATTTATTTTTCCTACATCCCAAGACAGCATCTTCGAAGAAAATAAAAAAGGGGGGGGGGTCTTTCCGATCAAATAATGAATTAGGGTGGAACCCTTCCTTTGAGGGGGTTGAGCTCCAACCTCAGAGCATCTGTCATGGTATTTATTGTAAGTAGCTGCCTCTGGGTGTTTTTCTTTCTCCAACTTCCCTTTATGTTAACATCACTTCCATTACATCCACGTACCAGACTCACAGCTTGAAGATTTGAAGTCCTCCCTCTCCTCTGCCCCTCGCCCCCATTTATTGCTTCCCAGGCTCTCTCAACTCCTCCTTTCTTGTTACCTCTAACTCTTCTCCTCTGCTTCCTGCCAGGGCCTGGCTTCCTCACCTCCATCTCAGACCCCTGCTCCCCACCACCGCGTTCTCAGTCTCCGCTCTCTCCTGCACACCCCTTTGCAGAAAACTTCACTCCCTCTTTCACCTGGGTAGGACAGGAGACCCCCAGAGGGACCAGCATCTGCCCCCGCAGGTAGACCTACCCCTGCTGCAGACTCTCCCCTGGGGTGAGGCAGCCGCGCCTGATTCGTATCTGGACTGCACCTTCACCACCCCCGAATCCCACCTTCCCTGTCCCGAGCACCGCTGTTTGTCTGGGGCCGTCTTTCCCCTCCTAACATGGAGATGCCTGCAGTCACTCGTCTGAACCCACATTCACAAGCATCGCGTGCCCGTGCTGCTGGGAGCAGGACACGCAGCAGCTGGGACGAGCTCGGAGCTCCCAGCCTGGGCCAGGCGGGGCTGGAGATGGGACACTGCAGGTACAGTACCGCGACTAGGGGTCGGCCGGCCTCTGCCTGCCCCTGCCCCCTTCCCTTTCTACTAAGGCTTCTCTGAAGTCACCGATGCTGACAATCTCTCCTCCCCAGCTCCTGTTCTCTCCCCCGATTCCCTCACAGCTCCTGGGCTCCAGACCCCACGTGCCTCACAGCCTTCACCTCCCTCGGCTCAGGCTGCATCGGGCACCTGGCCTTGGCCTCCTCGAGGGTGAGTTTCAGTAGAAAATCCCTCGGGCTTCCAGAGTCAGCTCACAGGTGAGGACACTGGCCCTCCACCGGGCCTCGCCTTCAGTCAACCTCTGGAGTCCACCAAGGAGCTCCTGGGGGGTCACATCCCTTTGGCAGCTGCAATTGGGCGAGGCCCGCTCAGCCTACCTTGGTGACTGGGTCGAACGTGTGTGTCCCCTGGGATGGCGTGAGGCTCATGTTCAGAACGCCTTTGGGCATCTGGCTGGTGACGATCACGCCCTCGATGGTCTTCCCCATGGTCTGCTTGGGTCCCACGGTTATTTCGAAGCGTCCCAGTGAGCTGCTGTCCCGGAAGCTGATGCCATGCTTGACATACACCGGAATGGCAACCAGACTGGCAAAGGGAGAGGCCGAAAGCCAGCTTCGTTAATGTGTGGGGAATGGCAACATCGCTTCCTCGTACAGTCTGCCTTTCTGGCCCCGTTGGCAGTTTTTCTTCCTCACCCATGTTCTTACTCCTTATCTTAAAAAATAAAAACAGAGGGGCCAGCGGATGGCCTAGCAGTTACATTGCTGGACTCCCACATGGCTGATTGCGGTTTGAGTCCCAGACCCAGGAGCTCAAAGCTCACGCCAGGCACCTGTGCGCACATGCCCACGATCCTGGGAGGAGAATGTAAAAGGGACTGGAGTGTGGCTATCCCCCCAGAGAGGGGGTAGTTTCTTACTTTCCCTCTCACTGTCTCTGTATCTCTGCCTGTCTGTCAAGTGCACAAGCCCTAAGACAAAAACCTCTTAAAAAAATTATAAAGAAACACGGAAAAAAAAAAAAAAGCCAAACTGTAACCCTTAATTTTTTCCTCTTAAGAAGCTAATGGGCTGACTAGTAAATAGTGTTTCTAGTGACTCTTCAGATAATATGAACAAAATCAAAGAGTACACTGAGCCGCTACAAGAAAAGAGGAATAATGAACAAAAATGAAGACTCGCTGTATTTCTTTTTCTTTCCTTTTAATGTTTTTTTTAATTTTGGTGTACAGTATGTGCATTTGCCAGAGAGAAACACAGAGAGAGATGACCCGCTAGGAGGGGCTGGCCACACTGCAACCCCTTCTCCTCCAGTCTCCTCGATTCGGGCACACACAGAGTGAACTTGGTATGATTTCTAAGCCAACAGGCCCGAGACTCAAAGAGTGCAACCACTCGCCTTAACCTCCACCACCTGCTGGTCCACGACTCACTGTACTTCTGTATTTCTGTTCCTGATGTGCACCCAGTCATTATTCGCACTGAGGAAAAGGATATTCACATCTCATGGGCCTTTGCTAATTCCTTGCAGGTGCTTTTACCTGACTTCATCTGATTCCTATGAAGACCCTACAAGGTAGGATAGACTGTCGTGTTTTTTCCAGGAAAGAAAATAGACTCGGGAAAATCACAGGCAAACAACAGCTGCCCACAGCTACTGGCTGCCCCGTGCCAGTCACGTGCTAAATGCTGTCTATGTACTCGGCCCGCCCAGCAGATGTGGAGGGGGAAAGCTACGTGCCACGACAGCAGACGCAGAAGGAGATACTGATTTCCGAGGTGAATGTTGCTGTCTTGTACGGAACTTGCCCAAGGACGAACATGATAAGCACCGAAGGGGGTTTAAGTCCAGGTGGTCTGACTGCGAGCCCAGAGCCCAAACACTCGGGCGTTTGCTAAACAACCCACTCCAAGTCACCCAGGAGGCCCTGGCGGCTCAAGGTTCCGGGCCCTCTGCGGTCTGCATCTTCTGGACAGTGTCGCCTTTTGACTCCAAAGAAAGAGGATGTGGAGACCAAAATCACCGCCTTTTGCCATCCATAGCATAGTTTAATGTTTGTTTTGTGTCAGGAAGATTTGAATACTCAGATTCTGTGAGTATGCTCCGGTTGTAATTTGAGAACAATGTTCTCGTCCAGGCATAGACTAACAATAAAAACAGCAGCAAACTTAGTTGGGGTTAAGCACTATTTGGATTCTCTTACCCAATCCTCCTAACAAGGTGTTTTTATCACTTTCGATTTACGGCGAAGCACACAGGCACAGACAGGGTAGGCAACTCACCTGGGGTTACCCATTAGTAACTGCAGAAGCCGAAATCTGAACCCCAGTAACACAAGAGCTGCACTCGAAATCACCACGGATGCAGTTTCCACACACACACACACACACACACACGCGCACACATGCACACACATGCACAGATTCCCCAGAACCCAACAGCTGCTTACTTCTGGGCGCTGACGTGGTAGGAGAGCAGCCGGAAGTTGCCGTCGGGAGGGATGAAGGAGAGGATGCGCTCTGACTCCCAGCGCTTGAAGCGGACACAGGGGTGGAAGCTGACGTCGTCCAACAGCCGGGGGTTCTGCGGTCACCAGGCGGGGAAAAGCCAAGGTAGGAATTACACACCCATATCTCCTTCCAGAAAGGGATCTGGGTATTTTCATTAAAACACACGCACAGGGAACAGTGGGTGGCATGGTGGTTAAGACGCTGGATACTCCCACATGGCTGACCATGGTTCAAGTCCTGGACCTGCTGGCTTTCTCTCTCTCTTTCTGAGTGTCTCTCTGGTCAAATTAAAATAAATGAATGAATAAATAAAATAAAAGAATTCTTAAAAAATTAAAAACAAAAAAAAACACACGCACAGGACTTCTAGAGTTACGTACAGGGAACCTGAGCCTGCCGTGAGCTTTGTGGCCACCCTAATCATCTCCGCTTTCTCATCCCTCGTTCCCCCAGAAGCATGCAGTCCCTCCCCACAGCGCACTCTCTGGCCCAGAGTCTCACCATGAAGGACAGGGTGAGGTCTGGCATTCCCGTCAGCTTCACGCAGGCATCAATCACCCCCTGGATCTCCGCAGTAATCGTGGAGCCTGAGACGAGACGACAAAAAAGAACAAGATTTGGGAACCAGCAGTTAGCGTAATGGCTATGTCGCTGGACTCCCACGTAGTCGACTGTGGTTCACATCCCGGACCCAGTGGCTTAAAACTCACGCCGGGCGCGTGTGCGTGTGTGCCCAAGATCCCGAGAGGAGAATGGAGGAGAAGGGATTGCGGCGTGACCATCCCCTCTGGGGGGTGATTTTTTGCTTTCTGTCTCTATGTCTCTCTGTGTCTGTCTGGCGAGTGCACGTGCCCTATAATGAAAACCTCTCCAAAAAAAAAAAAAAGAAGAACAAGATTTCTGAACGCCTTCCTGTCCTTCCCGGCTTATTTCCGCCTCTCCCTTTCCTCCTCGCAGCCATCAGGTCATTTATCTGATCCATTTGTCCGTCTTTCCAAACACTGCTCAATTGCACATCAGGCATGAGACACTACGATGAATACTGAGGATAAAGAGCTTAATCGGGTGGTCATTAGCCCAAAGGAGATTCTTCAAAGTTTATTTCCTTCACGGGAGAGAGAGAGAGACACGGAGAGACACGCGACCTCGACAGCGTCTCATGCCACAATCTCCCTTTAGTCAACAACCCTCCCCTTCGGCTGGACTGCCAGTCTTTCAGCCAGCTGGGACCACAGGCATACTCATGTTCGCAGCATGTACAGGTCAACCCGGCGACCAAACCCCAACTTCCCATGGCTTCCAGCTTGGCAGCACGCTGTGCTACCACTACACCACCGTGGTTGGGCCTGAAAGCAGTATTCACAGAATCGAGCAGAGCTTCGTCACCTTTTTTCCTTTTGTACCTTGGCAGAGAAAGAATGCACCCCCCTCCACTGGAGCGTGGTCATGCCACAACTCTTTTTCTTCCATTTCTCCATCCCATCGGGACTTTGGTGACATACCCACACATGCCCAGTGTTTTTCAAGCTGCAGGACAAGGATTCAAATCGATTGGCCACATGGGCTCTGACCTTTGCTGTTCAGTGCTTGACTGCTGTTCTCTGGAACTAGGCTGAGCATCATTATTTTAACTTATTTTAAGAGAGATTTTTGCTATAGGATGTATTCGCTCACCAGAGACACAGAGAAAGGCAGAAAGAAAGAAAGAAATCACTCCCCGGGGAGATGGCCACATTGCAATCCCTTTTCCTTCATCCTCCTGCTGGGATTTTAGGCATACCTGCACACATGCCCGGCATGAGTTTGAAGCCACCAGGTCCCAGACTCAAACCACAGTCGACCACATGGGTGTGTCCAGCACCTTAACCATTATGCCACCTGCTGGCCCCAAGCACCATTATCTGAACCAATGGATCAGAAAAGTTCCCATCGGAAATCAGTAAAATGTACTACTAAGTCCAAAGGACACTCTTAGTCTTTATCCTCCTGGATCTTACCCTCTCATTCCTCAGTGTTAAATCACTTCTTCCTTTTCAAAATGCTCCTCTCCTCACTGCTCACGGTTTTCTCGTATTTTCTAGCCCCTTCCCCCTCGGTGCCCTCGCGGGTTCCTCTTCCTTTGCACATCCCTTAAGTGCCCTGATTCCCCACAGCTCTGACTTTCGCCCTCACCCGACACGCTCTCCTTGGGTTACTCTACCCATTCCTCCAGGCTTCACTTTTATTTACGGCCAGCCATCTCCTTCCCTTTCCTCAAGGCCAGCCTCACTCCCCACCGCTCCACTGGATGTCAACGAGGTACTTCAAGCTCCGATGTCAGGAAGCGAACTCGTTTTCCTCGCCCTACTCCTCCGGTTTTCTGATTTTCCGGATCTTCACGACGACATCATCCACCAGTGGCCGACGAAGCACAGATGCACCTGGACTGCTCCCACGTCCTCAGGCCCCAGGTCCTCTCCTTTCTAGGCCTCCTGTCTCTCAAGCGTTCCCATTCCTCTCCATTCTCACTCCCAATATGGACAGATGCATTTTGTACCTGGACTTCGGCCTCAGCCTCCCACCCAATTTCCCCGCCTTCGGTCCAGCCGCACATGGAACCTCTCTGGCGGCTGTGCGGGCAGTGCCACACCACAGGCACCGTCGACGCAGAACGCCTCAGTGGATCCCAGGTGCCACACCACAGGCACCGTCGACACAGAACGCCTCAGTGGATCCCAGGTTCCCTCTAAGACGGCCTATGACGTTCTTCATGATCTGGCCACTGACTTTTTTGTGTTTGTTTTTAATTCTTTCATAGAGGTAAAACAGTAAAACACAAACTCTTCAATATAGGGGCCAGCAGATGGCATTGCAGTTATGTCACTGGACTCCCACATGGCTGACCGTGGTTCGAGTCCCAGAGCCATTGGTTTAAAACTCACACTGGGTGTGAGTGCATGCGTGACCAAGATCCTGCAAGGAGAATGGAGAAGGGATTAGAGCATGGCCATCCCCCCTCTCTCTCTGGCAAGCACATGCACCCAGGGGTAAAAACCTCTAAAAAGCAAAACAAAACAAAAGAGGAAAACTCTTCAATGTATACAAGTCGGTGAACTCTTAAGTATGTATACATCTATGCAAATACCATCAGCGTCAAGATGTGGAACCTTCCCACATCTCCACGCACTCCCTCGTGCTCATCCCAGTTCATTGTCATCCTCCACACTCCGGTTCCTATTACCTTTGGTTAAACTGGACCTGCCTCCAGACTTCACATTACCGTCATCGTCCTGCATGGAATCGTGTGCCTCTGGCTTTCTTGCTTCGTATTGCGAGAGTCCTTCATGTTGCTGGGAATCTCGGTAATTGGTCTTTTTTCGTTACTGTATAGTATTCTATTGCGTGATGGTGTCCATACCTGCTGACGCCTCGTACTGCTGAGGGGTCCTTGGGTTATTCCCAGTTTAGGCTGATCTGAAAAGCTGTTGTGCCTACTTAGTTTCAAAGTCTCATCACTTGTCTCTTTTCATGCCTCTTAATCCAGTCCTACTGAATCACTTGGTTTCCCTCATTTCCCTCATATTTCACTCCTCCTAGTGTTTGCACATAGGGGCGTGGCTAGAAGGAACATGTGCTCACTGGAGTGGACGGGCGAGAAACAGAAGAGGAGAAAGTGAGAAGACACTCCCGTGGGGGATGGCCAGAGGGCAATCCCTTCCTCTGCCATGTCTCCTTTCAGGATTTTGGGCATGCATGCACATGCAGCAGGCAAATTTTCCAAGCTGCCGGGTCTGGGACTAGAACTATATAGTCAGTCGTGTCGGATCCACCTTATGCACCACACCACTGGCTGGCCCGTTTGATCATATTTTGCTCCTAAGTCTTTGCAGTCTTAATAACCTCTATCCATTCTACTGACGAAGCACCAACACTCTGACATCCCTGTAGCCTCGCTCAGCAGGGTGAGGCACCTCTCGTGTGTTCCATCTTTCCCCCGCTCTCGCTCGCTCACAAGACTGAGCTCTCTGTGGCCATAGATCAGGTCTTGAGCCCCATCAGTTGCCCACTGCCCAGCACCACGCAATGACACCAGCTTTCAATAAACATTTGTTGAATAAGTAAGTACGCTAACATGAGGAGAATTTTCAACAAATTCCTGAGCTCCAGGACTTCTAGTCATATCAACCCATTCAAAATAGGTGGAAAAGAAGGCTCCTTGAATTTCAGTGATTACAACTTCAGTCTCGCCATCAGAATCACGATTCAGATATTGGGTCATTGGGAAAGTCATGATGCATTGTTGCATAGAGAAACATGTCATGACTTCCAGACAACCCAATCCTTTCAAAAAGAAAATGGAAATCGTATCAGTGAGAGGCCTGCCGGTCGCTTCTCTGTCTTACTTAAGACAAGCCTGAGTATGAGACAAACGTGGGTCTGCACAGTGATGTTACGGTCCACTCCCTGAACCCGGCCCAGGGCCTGAACGAAGCGGGCACTACGTTCACAAGATCCTTTTGGGGGTAATTCTGATACAAGCCAGCATCACCTAGGAGGGTCTTTTCCACTTTCATACTTCTGGGAGCACATTAGAGGCACCTACCTGACTTATCAATAATGGCGTCGATCTCTTCAATCACATCAAAGTAGGCCTCGTTGTTGGTGTATTTCACCCCGGTCCGTCGCCAGGGCACCACAGACAGCTGCCCGGTGGGAAGCTGGTCACCCACATTGGTGCTTCCTGAAACAATGAGAATCTGTGCTTTAATATCCATTGGATTCTAATGACCACAGAACACGTCCCGAGAAGTTTCGATGCTCCAAACATTCATGCTCTCAGCTGAAGAGTTTTTCAACCAGAAGGTGACAGTTTTCCCAACTTTGACGTATAGGGTGACTTAGTCTATTGTAAGAATTCCTTGTCGCCATTTGGTCTGCCTCCTCAAGCAGAATAAAGGTTAGAAAAAGTTATCTGAGTAACAGATATCATAGTTTGGTTTTGAAAGTAACCTGAACTTAGTATCTCAAATTGCACAATAGCTTGCAGCTTAAATAATGTATTGGCTCTCGGTAAGGTTGGTTATCAACATATTGACATAAAGATCTTATGGGTAAACACAGCATTCTGTTTGAAGGAGGCTCTTAGGTGCATTTATGGTAGATATGAAAACGTATATACCGATATGATCTGTTTCAGATCCATACTGAAATTTAGGAAAAGAATACAAATGAGACCTTCCCTGTTCTTAAGGATTCCTTAGTTCAATTCTTTGTTTTCCCCTCCTCAGGCATCAACAAAAAAAGTTTATAATTCCAAGATGTCATATTGAAATAATAAAATATTATAACTAATTTAAATTCTATATCCCTCTTCCATTTCCTGGATCTTGTGAGCTAAAGAAACACTAAATACACATATTCAGCATGGTAACAGAAATTTCAGCTTTTCAAAATCCACCTATTTGTTTTCTTAAAAAGATGCACAATGTATTAAAACATATCATCGAGCTACAATAGCCAAGGCAGTATGGTAATAAGGCAGGAAAGTCTAAAAACAGACCAACAGTCCATATGACTTTGTACAAGATAAAAATATTATCTTAAAACAGGGAAAAAGAGTAAATTAGTCAGTAAATGATGTTAGGAAAACTGACCAATAATTCTGGAGAAGTAATCATAGACCTTACCTTAAATAGTATAGCAGCATAGTTTATAAATAGATTAAAAATTAAATCCAAAAATACAACCATAAAACGACTAGAAGAAAATACACTTTAGAGAGATACCTTCTATTTTCTGAGATCAAAAAAGACAATGTTGGGACCAGCAGTTAGCCTAATGGCTATGTCGCTGGACTCCCACGTAGTCAATCACAGTTTGAGTCCCAGACCCGGTGGCTTAAACTTACGCCGGGCGCATGTGTGTGCGTGCCCAAGATCCCGAGAGGAGAATGGAGAAGGGATTGCGGTATGACCATCCCCTCTGGGGGGTGATTTCTCGCTTTCTATCTCTCTGTCTCTCTCTGTCTGTCTGGTGAGCACACGCGCCCCATAGCAAAAACTTCTCAAAAAAAAAAAAAAAAAAAGACAATGTTTTCCTGTATTTTCTTCTAATAATTATAAAGTTAGTCTGTGTTTAGCTACTTAACACAGCTGGATTTTGTGCATAGAATGAAGTGGAGAAACCTAATTTTTTTCCTCCATATAAAAGCTGACTGTCCTGGGAACCAGCAGTTAGCATAATGGCTATGTCGCTGGACTCCCACGTAGTCGACCGCTATTTGAGTCCTGGACCCAGTGGCTTAAACTCACACCGGGCGCGTGTGCGTGTGTGCCCAAGATCCCGAGAGGAGAATGGAGGAGAAGGGATTGCGGCATGACCATCCCCCCTGGGGGGTGATTTCTCGCTTTCTGTCTCTCTGTCTCTGTCTGTCTGGCGAGTGCACGTGCCCTATAGCGAAAACCTCTCCAAAAAAAAAAAAAAAAAAAAAGCTGACTGTCCTAATGAGATATATTTAACAACCAGCCTTGGACCAATGATTTGATAGATGACCACATCTATCAATACCAATTTCTTATGAAAGCAAGGATCTATTTCTGAACTTTCTATTTTATCCCAGTGATTTTTAAAAAATTATTCAAACTACGTAATGTAACTTATATCTGGTAGAAAACATTTTCTCTTTTATTCTTTTCAAATTTTTTATTTACAAAATTGTACTGGCTTTTCAAACATGTCACCACTATAAATATTTGTCTTTCATACAATGTGAACTTAGTATGCTTTGACATCTGACAGGGTAAATCCTTTCAACCTGTCTGGTATTTTTTTTATAACTTTCCGGGCTATTTCTGCATATTCATACTTTTTAGCTGTATTTTTCAATCAGTTCGTCCAATCTCATGAAAACCCTTGTTTATGAATTACACAAGACCCACAATATAAGCCCTTAATGAGGCTGGGGCCAGCGGATGGCATAGTGGTTAAAGTGCTAGACTCCCACATGGCCGACCATGGTTCAAGTCCTGGGCCTGGTGGCTTGCTTTCTCGCTTCTCTCTCTGTCCCTCTCTGGTCAATTTTAAATAAATGAATTAATCAATAAAATTAAATAAATAATTCTAAAAAAAAAATAACCTTAATGAGGCAGAATGAGTAATCTGACTAAATCAAAACATTTACATGGCTAAACAAACAACTCCATGAACAATGTTATATGATAAGTGACAGACTGTGAGAAACTACAGCAATGTTCACAATATATAAAGAACTCCTACAAATGATCATGTATCTTGTGAATGTATTTCTTCTTTTTCTAAGAATTATTTGTTATTATTTTTAAATTTGCTATATGTTCACGAGAGAGAAAGAGAAAGAGAGAAAGCAAGCTGCCAGGTCTGGTACTTGAACTGTGGTCAGCCACATAGGAGTCTAGTGCCCCAACCCACAGGCGTCCTAATGCGATATATTTAACAACCAGCCTTGGACCAATGATTTGATAGATGACCACATCTATCAATACCAATTTCTTATGAAAGCAAGGATCTATTTCTGAACTTTCTATTTTATCCCAGTGATTTTTAAAAAATTATTCAAACTACGTAATGTAACTTATATCTGGTAGAAAACATTTTCTCTTTTATTCTTTTCAAATTTTTTATTTACAAAATTGTACTGGCTTTTCAAACATGTCACCACTATAAATATTTGTCTTTCATACAATGTGAACTTAGTATGCTTTGACATCTGACAGGGTAAATCCTTTCAACCTGTCTGGTATTTTTTTTATAACTTTCCGGGCTATTTCTGCATATTCATACTTTTTAGCTGTATTTTTCAATCAGTTCGTCCAATCTCATGAAAACCCTTGTTTATGAATTACACAAGACCCACAATATAAGCCCTTAATGAGGCTGGGGCCAGCGGATGGCATAGTGGTTAAAGTGCTAGACTCCCACATGGCCGACCATGGTTCAAGTCCTGGGCCTGGTGGCTTGCTTTCTCGCTTCTCTCTCTGTCCCTCTCTGGTCAATTTTAAATAAATGAATTAATCAATAAAATTAAATAAATAATTCTAAAAAATAATAACCTTAATGAGGCAGAATGAGTAATCTGACTAAATCAAAACATTTACATGGCTAAACAAACAACTCCATGAACAATGTTATATGATAAGTGACAGACTGTGAGAAACTACAGCAATGTTCACAATATATAAAGAACTCCTACAAATGATCATGTATCTTGTGAATGTATTTCTTCTTTTTCTAAGAATTATTTGTTATTATTTTTAAATTTGCTATATGTTCACGAGAGAGAAAGAGAAAGAGAGAAAGCAAGCTGCCAGGTCTGGTACTTGAACTGTGGTCAGCCACATAGGAGTCTAGTGCCCCAACCACCAGGCCACCTGCCAGCCCCTGTCCTCAAAGACTATAGAGAGAGAAAAGTTAAAGCACCTGGACACTTGAGATTCCAAAGGCAAATACTCAGAAATGACACACAACACCTTACTAAGCCACAGCCAGGACGGTAGCAGCCTTGTGCCGGGCCGTTCCTCCCTACCTGTTATGGTGTTCACAACGGTCCGAAGGATAGTGGGAGGCTTTATCAGTTCTTTGAGGATGTTCGACTCGGTAGCCAGTGGAAACCCGTTGTCAAGCATCTCTTCCAATACCTCGTAAACCACCACCACATTGTCTTTGATCACTGGCTCTGAACAGACGCCAAAATAATCCTAATGAAGATATAATATGCACATTTATCACTCCAGAGACTGTAAAAAAGAAAGGGAGAAAACTCCTACCGAGTAAGGACCAGCCCGGTCCGTGTAGTTTACTCAGCACTCCTGGGGATCTCTCCCGCTCAGAGGGAAAGGCACGTAGCCACAGTCCTCGGGCAGCCGGGTTCAGGAGACAGAATGATAGACTGTCCGACGGAAACAGGGTCAGTGCTGGCTTCTCCATAAACCAGAGGGAGTCAGTTACCTGCTCTGGGTTAGTTTCCTCAACTCGACAGTACAGAATAAAAACCTGACTTTACATTATTACATATGTTTGTGACTATGAATTTTAAAAAGTATGCAAACTGATAACAATTGATATAACAAGAGTTTTAATTTATGAGAGAAAAAGAGAGGAAGAGAGAGACAGGATGATGTGCTTTGAATTGCCAGAGGGCACATATGCCTATTGGAGGGGTGAGAGAAAGCAAGCACTCCTCAACAGGCACGGTCTCTCTGCAATCCTCTTTTCCTCTTTTCCTCCATTTCTCCATCCTACCAAGGTCTGGGGCACGCACGCACACATTGCCAGCAGGTTTTTCAACATACCCGGGCTGGGATTTGAACTGCGTCAGCCATGTGGGCTCCAGCTCCATGTACATGATGCTTAACCACTGCACAGAATTGCACATTAAAATCTTTTTAACGTTGTGCAGTTTCCTAACATGCATGTACTAAATAAGAGTTAAGCGGGCAATAAATGGAAGGAGGCTGCAATGAACACATACAAAAATCTCTTTGGACCATCCCTAACCATGAGGATTCTAAGAACTCCTTGTCCTCTTATAAAAGGCTAACTTTAGATACAAAATTGTCTAGTTGTGGGAAAAGTTCTTGATTCCAAGTCCGAACACCTGGATTATAATCTTACTTGTCATTTATTAGATTAAGGCAGTCTGATGTATCACTTAGGAGTCAGTAATGTATCCCTAAAACAAAAAGATTGCCTCTAAGAAATGGGGATTGAAGGAGAAAAAGTCAAAAATTTCCTTCCCCATTGTGACTTTATTTTAAAAAATAAAACAAAACACTTCACTAGGTTTTATAAACCAGACATAAAGGGAAATGAGCTGCTGGCAGGGAGACCTGCAACATGACCGAGTGCCTAAACCAAACATCAGGCAGTTCTGTAGCTGGAACGCTTCGTCATAGTTTCACACTAGAAAAATAATGCTGTCAGAGAGTCCCCATCAAACGAGACATTAAAATCAAGATGTGTCCATTCACTCTTAACAACCGCTTTAAAAAAAAAAAATGACAAGTTCAAATATCTCAGCCTTCCACAAGAGCAACTTTATGCTGTCTTCCCAAATTCTTCTGTGGTTTCAACTACATTCAACGTTTCTCACTTCTCGTCTTGTTATGTAACGTTGGTAATGGTCCGATCAGGTGGCTGTCGCGTTTCAGCAGTGGGACTGTTAATCTTAGGGTAAAATACTGCACGAAGACATCACAGTAAGGCCCACTTAGATGGTTTTGGATTATAACTACAGGTTCTTCCACTTCCGGTTCCTCCACATGCTAGCACATATGCCTCTTGGGTTTTCCCCGTGCATAGGAGCGAGCACTCCACGTGAGCCTCTCAGATTCTCTCTAAGCTGCTGTTAGAGAGTATTCAGAGGGATGAACTTACAAAAGGAATTTTAATTCTTTTGGGAAAATGGAAGCTGCTCTAGACCTGCAATATAGATATGACGACAGACGCAAGGCCTCTTTGACGGGCTTTTCAGTTTTTATCATACGTTCTGGGTCCTCGTTCCTTTCTCCGCTTTCAGAATTCCTACGTTCATGTGACTAATTCCAGACCTCACATGACATAGAAGTTAAATCAAAGGGCCCTTGCTTCTCATTTATCATCCGAGTCATGCTCGTAACCACAACAGTTAGAAGTGGAGTGATTCTGTTACAGAGCGGATTCCACTGTCTCCACCCAGTCTGGTGGTCTAAAATGCTGTGCTGTCACTGGTACTCAGATCCTGCCATAACTTATCTCCCTTCACCCTGCCCTCCTGCCTAAGACCTTCAAATCTACTTCTGAAGGAAAAAAGAAAAAAGCAAAACGAAAACTAGGCCTGGTAAAATGCGTTGCTTAAATCCATAGAGGTACCGAAAAGTCCCTGATATGTCTGCAATGAGAGTGTACCACTAGCACTCCCATGCTATGCGAAATCGCCCCAAACCCAGAAGGAAGGGTGGGTTCACAAATTACATTTGCCAGGGATCAGTAAAATAAGCGCTACTAAGTTTTCTACTTTTTCTAAACGTGTGTACACTTACCGCTTTTTGGTGCAACTCAAAGCAATGTTAACTAACAACGGTTCACATCAAGTCCACTACATAAACACATTTAAACTCCTCTAACTTGTGAGCAAAAAGAGGGACCAGAACTATTGGACTGTCAGAAAAATCATGATGTGTTTTTCCTATACAAAAACGTGTCGTAACTTTCCTGACAACCCAATGAAAGGGTATACTCAGTCACGCACGGTGGCTTTCTCACACGACTTTCTCTCGATTTGTCATTTTGCATGCAGCCAATTCAACAAATAGGAACTAGAATCCTGTCTGCAGAGGGGAGGAAGTGAACAGTACCAGGGTTCTGGTTTTCTGCAGTTTCTCCCCTGAGGCCGACGACCATGGACACGGGGCTATACAAGCCGCTTCCTCATTATGGATACGCTCCTCCCCACATCCACAAACCTGAAACGTGTCCACCACGCGGTGAAGGAACTCAATGACAAACAGCGGTGGGACTTCCGTCTGGATCACAGCCACAAAAAAGATCTTGTGGCGGTAAACACTCAAGAGATAGTGGTGAGGAGTGGGGATCACCGGGGGCACGTTTTCTGCCTCCGTGGCTCTCTCTTGTGCCTCGAAAAAGTAATCACACACAGAACGGCTGACCACACTTTTCCAGTGCTTCTCCAGGAAGATATCTCCCGAGGAGTTGATCAAGAAAAGACTGTGAATCATGGTAGAGACCGGTAGAGAGGGACGTCTTCCAGCCTCAGGACTCTGCAGTTTCGGTCTAAAAACAAAAGAGGCTCACTCAGTTTTGTTCCACCCA